AAGCTTATATAAGAGGAAATACAGAAATTCCTACCTTAGCTAAAGCTAAAGGTCTTTTTAAGTAAATATTTAATAAAAGAGACTTAGATATACTTTAGAGAAAGATAATAGGTTCCTAACTATAAACTATTTTATATAGAACTTATTTAAAGTAATTATAACCCCCTGACTACAGAGCATCTAGGCTAAGAATAGACCTATCTTTTTCTTAGTAGAGTATACTTCTGGCCTAATATATCCTAAGATATAAGAAGATATATCTAAAACTGTAATATCTATAGCTATATAAAATCATAGAGAGAACTAAAGTATAGATTATTAAAATCACTACTAATACCAGACTAACCATAGTAAGAGCTAACTATGGATTTTATTACTAATTTATTTAATAGTAAGTTATATATAAATCTTCTTGTAGTTATAGACAGACTAATAAAAGGAATAATACTCTATATAATAAAGAAGATTATTATAGAAGCTATAGCTAAGATACTGCTTAAAACAGTTCTTAGATAATATAGGCTACTAAGAATCTTAGTATCAGATCAAGACACCTAGTTTACTAGCTGAATATAGAAAAGAATATATAATCTACTAGAAATTAATAGGTAGTTATTTATAGTATATTATTCTTAAACTAATAGAGCAATAGAATACATAAATAGTATAGTTAAAGTCTATCTAAGAGCTTATATAGATTATAATCAGAAGAACTGGGTTAAACTATTATCTTTAGCTAAACTAGTAATTAATAGCTATATAAATATAGTTACTAGATTCTCACTATTTTTCTTAAGCCATGGGTATAAGCTGAGTATAATATACTAAGAGACTATATATAGTATAGATCTGGAAATAGCCTTCTCTAGCCCTACCTAACAAGGAGATGTAATTATACAGAAGATATATAATACTCTAGACTAGGCCCAAGATATCATTATCTATACTTAGTAGACTACAGAGAGATAGACTAATAAATCCTACTAAGCCACCTCTTTATACTATAAGGGTGACCGAGTATAACTAAATCTACAAAATATTTGAATAAACCACCTGAGTAAGAAGCTGGACTGGAAGAATATAAAGTATATTATTTTAGAAAAAATAGGATTATACACTATACAACTCGATACTCTGAAAGAAATCTATTCTATTTTCTATATTAATCTACTTCGCCCTACAATCAATAATACACTACCCTTACAGCTACAAGAAGATACACAACCACCACCTATAATAGTCAATAGAGAAGAAGAGTATAAAGTTAAAGAGATTCTTAATAAATAAAATATAATAAAAGACTAAAAGAATCAACTATAGTACCTAGTTAAATAGAAAGACTATATAGAACTAATCTAGGAACTAGTCTCAGTACTTAATAATACAGAAGCTGCTGCAAGATAGTAGTTATAGACCCTGCTAAACCCTAACTAATATTATATAAATAACAGCTAAAAAAAAAAAAAAAAAAAAAAAAAAAAAAGAAAAAAAAAAAAAAAAAAAAAAAAAAAAAAAAAAAAAAAAAAAAAAAAAAAAAAAAAAAAAAAAAAAAAAAAAAAAAAAAAAAAAAGGGAGAAAAGAAAGAAATAATAATAAATAATAATAAAAGACTACTACTTACTAATAACTCTTTTTTAGTTCTAATTCTATAAATTAAAAGAAAGAAAAATAAAAAAAAAGAAGAAGAAAAAAAAGAAAATTAAGAGGTCTCTTATTTTTCTAAACTAACTAGAGAAAGCTTTACTTAATCTAATAAAAGAAACCAGCTACTACTAAACTGAATTCTATTATATACTATATTCAGTCGGTTAACTCTTTAATAATATTGTAAGGGAGAGTAGTAATAGCTATAGACTTATACTTAGACTTGTCTAGATTATAGTACCTATAGTGAATACTATAATCCTTAAACTTATACCCAGTATAAGTACCTTTCTACTATCTAGATAATTAAATAGTCTATTAAAATTTTATTTGATTATTATACTCACAGTAATATAGCATAACCAAACTATAAGATATAATTAGGAGACTATTAATATAAGAGGAGTACTTAGTATATATCTAATAATATTAGCTTTTTATATAGGAATACTAGGTTATCTTATCTAAGTAGTAGTAAGAGTATCAGCTCTTATCTCAAATTTATAATAAGAAAAGTACTAAATATACTACTAGTCCTAAGTATAATAAAATTAAAGCAAAGCCTTATTTCTATATACCAAAAGTTATACAATAACCCAATACTTAGGATCACCAGTGCGAGTATTATAGATAATTAAATAGTATACAGAAATAAAGAGTAAATTATAATTAGAGATAGAAGCAGAAGTTTAAGAGGAATTATAGTAAATAGAACTAAGAGAATTATCTAATTAGTTAGACTTATTATCTCTAGAATTAGAAAGAGGAGATATTACGTAGTAGAAGAAGAAGATAATAGTAAATTATATAAATAGAAAAGAAGCAAACTAAGAAGAAAGAAGAGATACTTAAAAAAAAAAAAAAAAAAAAAAAAAAAAAAAAAAATTAAAAAAAAAAAAAAAAAAAAAAAAAAGAGAACTGACTTAGAGGGGGGATGGTCTTCTTATATAGTACTTTATATATTCTACACAAAGCTAATGGCTAAGCCTAACTATATCCCTAGAACTGGTTATACAAGCTGCATGAAGAAAGTTCTATTCACTAGAGAATTATCAGATTTACTAGATCGAGAGGAATTATATGATAAAGAGAATAATAGTAAACAAAATAAGCTCTATCTATACTTACACTGTCTACTAACCAGCCATAACACCATCTGGGAAGGAAACTGAAGCATAGAACTGTTACCCTGAACCTACACCACCGATCGTACGAATGCGAACCACAAAGAGAGATGAGGAAGGAGAGAGAGGCTTCTATTATAGGACCAAGGCCCTGATATAGAGCTCAGCTTCAGGCACCAGTTGGTGCCTAAGGCCTCGCATACTATACACTAAACTAGCACTAGCTTAGTTCACACACACCTAAAAGAATTTCGCACGAATAGATAAAATAGCTTTCTAGCTATTTCTTCTTATTCAAAGGCATATTTTGATTAGTACAATCCATCCGTCTTATAATATCTATCTTAATAAGTAGATCCTATTATATAAATACTCTAATCTAAAAACTATAGATCTTCAACCTACTATAATCTAAGGGTTTATCATATATTATTATACTACTATTTAAAAGATAGTAAATAAGTAATACTTCTATAATCTAGTATAATTTTAAGTAATTTAGCTAGTTACTTCCTCTCCTAATCTATTATATTATATTAGTCTAATAAATTATATCTAGAGATATACTAGCCAATCAGAATACCTACCGGGCCCCATCCTAGGTCTGATGAAGGTCCATCAGACCAACCCTTGTGGATTATATACCAGCCAATCAGAATGCCTACCGGGCCCCATCCTAGGTCTGATGAAGGTCCATCAGACCAACCCTTGTGGATTAGGATGAAAGAAAAGAAGAAAATATAGAAGGGCAGCCTAGGCTAGGAGACTACAGACTTCTTGTCCTGTAAGGTATCGTAGTTGCTACGCCGTCGGGTAAACGGCTCGTTGGTTTCTAGCCATGTCAACAAGGCAATCTCTTCGGGGTCAGCTCACTCTGTAGCGTGTACAAGGCTTCCCGTCCTCCACTGGTCTCTCCGACTCACCCTATCGTCCCAGAGAGGTTTTATATACAAGTCAAGGCAATAGGTTGGCAGAGAGCTTTTAATAGGTCCTATCTTAGATAAATATCAAGCTTATCAACAAGTGGGTTTAATAACATATTGTATCCTAACATACCACTGATATAAGTGTCTGCTCCCAATCCACAAGTCTAATATATCGAAACATCCAATTTTTGATTACTGACGATAGATTGGGATTTCTTGTCAAAAGTTGATCTCTACTGTCACCGAATATCACTCCTTTCAAAGCAGAAGACACCATGAGTGCTCGAGCTCAAGCTAGACTAAGCTCTCCTCAACCGCCTTGGCAATAATGAGCTTGCCTCGAAGGTGGTTGAGTATCATAAGTTGCAGATGGCTCTTGAGGCATCGAACAGGGATAAACTCGTCGTGATCAAAAAGTTAAAAATGCAATCAATTCGGCTTACTTAAGTAAAATAAACGAAAGAATACTACGTATTTTGTGGGTGAGCGACTCCCCTCTGTGAGCAGTGAAAAACGTATCCAGGAAGCTTGCGACATCTCCAATCTGCAGACAGACGAATGGAGAGTAGATTTTCGGAGACTGGATTCGGGAGTCAATTTGTAATAAGGTCATTAGTCAACTAACTATACTGTCGAGAAGTAGCTGTACTGAGAGATCCGCTTGTACTTCCAGGACGGGTACCAGAGCTAATGGACTTCCCCTTTAATTGACGAGAAGTCACAGTCGACATCAGTTTTCCACATTATGTTGTTTACGTCTTCGGAAGCTCATGGATGGATCACGGAAAAGAAAGCAATTCCGTCCGAGTCACACACCGACCAGCTATGATACCGCGTAACCAACCCAATACACCCGTCCAATACTGACTTTATAATAATCAAAGTCAAGAAGCATTATTTAGCTCTGCTGCTGAACCTTTTATTGCTAGTTGAGAACTAATTTTCTGTTATCAAGATGTCTCTTAAACTACTAGGTCGTCCTTTTTCTATCTGTATTCTTCGAGTCCTGTTGGTGCTGGCAAAAAAAAAAAAAAAAAAAAAAAAAAAGAGAATGTGAAGTTTGAATTCCAAACCATTGATTTCCCCCGTGGGGAGCACAGGGTTGTTTGGATGATAGTTAACATTCTTATAATAGGCTCTGCGTGTAATAATCTATAATGGCAGGAATCTTCCTCCTTGGAGAGCCACCCTTTTGGCGTCATCCATTCCTTAAAGATGGCTTATTCAAGCTTTATGCTAAGTATAATATCTCCACTACATCACTGTAACATTTGTTAATCTACATATACTACTCTCCGTAATGCCCAGAGCGATCAGTGAGTATCTCGCCACCAAATATCGCGATGACGGTCCTCAATTGCTTCCGCCAATGAAAGACATGGAAAAATGTGCCTTGTCCAGGCAGTGGGCTTCCGTCGAGTATTCCCAATTCTCCCCTTTTGCAGTGCAGCTTCTCATGCGAAATATGTTTAATCCCCGAGCATATGTTAGAGAAACAAGAGTATTAGTACTAACATGGCCTCAGAATGAGAGGAATACCATGCGACGAACTGCTGGCCCTGCAGATCATCAAGCGTCTTGAAGATAAACTAGATGTACTAAACACAATCTTGGGTCAGCAACCATTCATAGTGGGCGCGACCTTCTCCCTGATAGATATTTTCTACATGCCGATGGTGGATATGCTCTATCAAGCTGGTCAGAGCTAGTTATTTGAGGACCGACCAACCTAAAGGTATGATGGGAAAAGATTTTATTCAGGGCTTCATGGAAGAGATATTCGCATAATCTTGAGTAATACATCCATCAATGGTTTCACTAGCAGATTCTGTGTATGATATGTGCTAAGGGTGTATTGTCAATGAGCTAATCCATATTGTTTAGACTCGTGTTCAATACGGCAAACAGGCTTCGGAGGCTAACTCCCTGATGTTTTAGATCTGGATGTGTTGCGAATATTTCAATCTGATATCTGAATTTCTGTGGTGTACCTAACCATGTCCTTGGATTCATTGAACAACCTCTCAATAAGAGCAACTTAATATCCTCTAGTCTCTAACCTATTTCAAAGATATACTGCGTGTATAGTGGTCATTAGCATTGTATATTAGATGTCTTATATGAACCTTTTTTGTGAGATTAGATACAGTAGAATATATATAGAAGTACTAGTATATCTACATTTTCTTTAACTAGATATTAAGAATGATGATATTTTGGTCCCTTTTTTTTTAGTTTATATATTCCGCGGGTTTCGAGCTTCTAACTAAGAAAAATGCTAGTCTACGGCAATTCCTACAAATATTTAATATATTGAGGGATCGGCGCATATTCTTTTCTAAAAGAATGAAGATCTATTCGCTTTTGTCCAGTCTTTAGCCGTTAAGGCGGAGCTAACCAGCAAAGATTAACTTTCTGCGCGGAGATCTTACAATTCTTTTGATATAAAGACAGTCTAGTATATTATAAATTTGTACTTCTTAATTAGCTTATCAAACTGCTTCTTTAATAGCAAGGAAGAGCTTCTAGAGCCTCTATATAGAATCTTCTTAATTAATAAAGTCTTTTTATACAGATAATAGACTATATAAGATATAGTAACTATTAAGGAGCTTGTTGAGGTATTATTATGACTAGGAGGAGGTAATAGAGTTAAAAATAAGTAATTCAGTTTATTAAGTATCTAGTAAGGCTTAAAAGGCTCTATTCCAGCTGCAGCAAAGCTGCTCTAAATATTCTGAGCTGTAAAGACTATCCAATAAGCTGTAGAATATACTTTTAAGAAGTCAAGCTTATTAATATAGCTGAATCCTAGTCGTATCTTTACCTCAATAAACTAACTATATACTCGTTTTAGTGGATCAAAGCAACCAATATCTAGTAGTTGTAGGAGGTGAGATGAATGAGGAGGTATATATAGATAAATAATATAATTATCTTTATAGAGTTTATTAAACTAAGATGTAAGGTGGCTCCTATAGCTATTAAGAACTAGTAATTGATATTTTCCAACTGTACGGGGAGTTGTTATAGGAATAAAAACATTTTAAAGCCACCGAAGGCCTATCTTATCTATAGTCCAGTCATTGGTGCTTATTTTAATCCTCTAGGATAATAGTAGGTCAATTTCTTTAAACCATCCCTTAATAAGAACTCTGCCTTTAAAGATAATATATGCAGGGAGGCTCCAACCCCTAGTATTAATATATTCAATAGTAGTGACCCATTCCCGCTGTCCTGGTTAAATAAGACAAGGCCTACCAGGCATATTAGACCTAGTAACTACCTTAGTAGTTGCTATAAGGCCCATAGCAAAGCCAGTTTTATTAAAGTTGTATATATCCTCAGTAGAGATGCTATATTGTATCCGAATTTTCTTTAGACAGTTAAATTACTGCTTTATTAGCTTAGGATTCTTGTAAAGTGCTTACTAGTAGTTATATCTTCTTGCAAATCAACTTCTGATCTTATCATAGTATTTAATAAATTCTGTAACCCAGTTCTTTCCCATAGCTTATTGGCCAGATATAGATTCTTCTCGAAGAAGAATATTAGCTATTTCCTTTATCTAGCTCAGCCTAGGAGCTGCTCCACGAGTATCCTAAGATATTATTTATTCAATCAAGGCCTTTTTCTGAGTCTTAGATAGCCGGTGTCTGGCATTGCAATGTTCTGGTTGAAATTGATAATCTGATAATCAATCTCAGAGTATTGAACAAGGCATATTATAAACTTCTGCAGCACGGTGAATACTTGGAATTTAAAGCTCTTATTGCAAGTTAAAGCCTTCCCTCTTGCTCCATTAAATTTTAAGATAATTGATGCGCTTTTGGTGGTATAGTGGTTGTTTAAAGATCAATTATAATTATACGTGTCAAAACTCGATGAGGTGGGCGGAACGATTGGGGTGGGCGGACCGACCGGGAATTACGTTATAACATGCCTTACGGAGTGAACTTACGACACTGTGCATGTGGACAGGGAGATCAGTGTCGGAGTTACCACTGCACTTATTGTAGACGAAGAGAGAGGCAGACGTGAATCAGGGGCCATGGCTGCTTCGGTACCAGATAGAAGAATCCATGATTAAGATAAGACACCTTCCTGTGTTCGTACATAGGTAGCAAAGGTTTAGATAGATAGATGGTACAGATTACAATCAGAGTTTCCTTGTCCTCTCTTATGAAGCCAAAGCTTCTGCGGTGCTAAGCTTCTAGTCCCTGCAACGCCCCTCGTAATAATAAAGCCATCTTAACCTATATTGGCATCAGCCGCCGCTCGGTGACCCTATGACGTGGGTGCCGTATACCCGATGCATTTATGCTAGTTATGTATGCTTTGTCAGAACGATGGCCTGCGGTGCGGCCTTGAACCATCGCTTCTCAAGCGAACCACGCTGGAATTTCCCACGCACTGTGGCATTAAGACATATATCTATAAATAGCCACTACAACCAGGTGCTCAGACAGAGACAGACCAAATGGCTTCGGATCACTGGTGTGAGATTGGGTCGTAGCAGGCTTATCTCTCGAGCTGGAGCGTTTTCGCACGAGGTTACAGTGTGTGAAATAGCTCAGCCCCCCATGTTCCGCGCACACCTATGGCTTGCGATGCTGCCCTTGATTCCGTTGACGCCAGCTCTGCGGCTGGCACTCAGCATCGTCAAGGGATCAAATCTGACGTCAGCCTGGCAGGCTCGGCTTATCGACCGTGCGATGTGGCGCTGACCCGTTCTAGATCTTAACAGGGGTCGGGCTATTGTGTGACATAATCGTTCTGCAATTCCACGACAAACCATACGGTGCCACTAATGCTTGGTATTATTATTATCTAGATATAGCAGAAGCACCAGCAGTAGCAGCATTCAAGACATCTCTAATAAATGCCATGGTGCTCGTGGTGCCGTCCTAGTCCTTGCCCAGCAAGCCCAAAATAGCCAGCTGTTGGAGCACCAATTCCGCAACCCATTTGGACCCCAGACAATGCGCTTCGTCCTCCAGAATTGCCGGGATAGCCTGGCTTGTTGCAATGAGATTATGCTAGATAAGCACTCAACACAATTGAAGAGGTTTTCATATTATTTACCTCTGGCTTCTTATTTTTATTTTAGTCTGCGTTCCTATGATGACTGCTTATTATATTGTCAACAGCTTTTTCGATACTAGATAGGACAGTGATTTACATTTCAAAAGGAAGCTTGTTTGAATAAAAGACTATACATACTTTTTGAAACCAATACCTATCTCACGAAATTCATATTTGTCAGTAGCTTCATGGTGGCCATTCCATAGGTTCTTGAGCCAAAAGGGTATTTAGTCAATAAGAGTCATTTGATTCTTTGTCCCTTAGCTGAGACGTAGGTAGCCCAACATTTAATAATTATTAATAGAAACGATGTTTCAGATGTACTCAACGTCAGCTAGAGGCGTGGAAGGTCGTGAAATATGTGATAACCCAAATGTGTACTCGGAGTATTAGAGAGATCGGCAGTCAGCTTAGGCGTCCCACATCGCCAGCTAAGGAAGGCACTAGCTGGGCCGGTGGGCGGCCTTACATATCAGTGGACTGCTATTTTTAGCCGGGGTACCATAGCATGGTAGAATTTGCTAAAGAGAAGTATAAAGAGCGTCTTCGTCTTTGATTCTCAGGATATTTTTTTTCAATGATACTACCATTATCAAGCCTCCCCCTACACGAACAACATCTTCCTTCCAGCTATAAATATGAGATATAGCAAATCCCTTCTAGCCATATCCGGCATCATTGCCTCTGTTACGTCCGCAAACACCTCATTTCCTGCCAACTTCACTCTAACCTCCACTCTTGATAACTCAATACTGACCACCGATGGTTGGGGTATCTACGACAGCACCACAGAAACTCTATTAACTTGTAAGCCTTTATTTATTCCTCCAGTACCAATGACCTATCTTAAGTACATCTAATAATTTCTTTTTAAAATGGCAATTATAGTATCTCCCTATACAGGCGGCACCCTCGGCTACGGGAGATACCATCAGGCACTGGCCGTGCTCGCTGGTGAGACCGAAGTTGCTTGGATTATTCAACTCGATGCAGAGCCCGAGGCTATCGACACAATTACAGGTTGGGGACTGTCGGATGATGGGTTCCTCATGCTGAACGGAGAGCAGCTGTGGGCGTTCAATGAGAGCGCCGTGGAGCCAAGAAGGCTGTATTGGGCTGGCGATGGATATCAGCAGGGGCTGGTCGCTACACAGCTATTGGTGCAAAGTACGGCATGAGAACTGAGACCAGGCTGGGACTCTATATTGACAGTTGCCCTACAAGAGAGAAGTACCGATGAAGAGAAATATGGATGTTATCTTACTATCTAGGAATTGCACAGAAAGAGATCTATAAAAGAGATCTAATACAATATGTATCAGATTAAATAAAAACCATCCTTCTTATTAGTTCCTCGTAACTGGTTAACATACCAGAAGTAGTTATCTGTCTGCTAACTAGAGTGGCTATACCTGATCATTATACCTTAACTGTGACGTGACTGTAACTTAGCAGTCAGATTAAAGTATAAAAACCCTAAATACACTGGGATTTGTCCATCACATATGCGATGGCTTTAGAATTCCTGTAGTTTATATAGGGCCAATTTCTTAGCATGGGATACGATGGAGGTGATCCACAGTATCATAGGTTACTATCCTGAGGAATAGCCTACTATCTGCTCCCGTGTATACATGTCTATATAAGCAGAATTCTAGGAGTCTGCAGGTAGCTGCGGGTAATGATGGTCTTTTTGGTCTTATGGTCAACAACTCCTGTCGGCTGGCATTCGTCTTTCTTTACTGATTGAACTCTGATCTGATTATTGAAGAATTATCTCTTTCGTGAAAGCCCAGATCAGTCACATGCCCATACAAAATCACATTGAATTCCTAACTTTAATAGAGCAGATTGGACTTATTCCATGAGAATCATGATTCTGTTTGCATGTGAATCCTCGTATTTCTTATATTATTCTGATTATTCAATCTCCATTACTGCTAATTATCCTACTTAATTACCTCACTTTCTTTATCTTCTGATCAAACGATTCATGGTCCTGATCTAGATTCATTCACTGCAAGCAGTGAATTTAATATAAATAGAGCCTTTCATTCCCTATTTAATTATACTTAAAGTAAGTCATCCGATTCTTTCACTTCCTACATAAGAATCTACTTAATTTTGATTTAGGAAGTTAGATTGCTTCCCTTTGACAACATGATCGGATGTAGTTACCTCTATCTATTATTTTATCTTTATTATTTTGATATCTAGTTTCCTATTTAGGACTAGTATCACCCAATTAGATCATGATATCATATCCTGGATAGAAGCTTGGACAAGAGAAGAGAAGTAAGGCCAAATAGTGCCGCGCAGCTATCTGTAAGTAAGCACAGACGAGTGTTCTATTGCTAAGCTTCCAAAGGTATGGTTACTTGAAGATAGTATTATCGAGCACGAAGAACAGAACTAGCTAAGTACATGAAAGAGTGTCCTTATATATCCTATCCTTCGTATACCATATTATATACCATCTGGTCTGCCGTACACCCACGTGATATTCATAGACCTTGATGGTATATCGTATACCATATACCTGCTTGTATACCATTCTATATACCGTATACCTACCGTAGTCCCATTCATATACCCTAGATAGTCACGTGATGTGTGGCCGTTCCAGGCGTCGTCTGCGCAATCCGAGATTCTACTGGATTAAGAGTTGTTATTTGCTCGAGCGTTGCCTTTATCGGCGTTTTTCTGCCTGACGAGTCCGCCTCGCTAGTAGCTCAACTAGTAGGGGTCTGTAACAGGTTCACCCTGATCTATCGAATTAATTTGGTAAGTATCATATGCTACTTATGTGATCCAGATAGACTGCGCATAATCTCTGCATCACATCAAACCCTGTTCATCGGTAGACTCTTCAAGTGCAGAGATAATCCATCTTATCAATATTATATAGTAAGCGGTATTTTAAGTCTGGTTGATACACTATTTCTTAATTATATGGCTCTTAAAAATTACAGGCCCTACTCTTTATGCTTATACAGCCTAGGCTAGTTATGTTTCTAATATCACTAAGACCAGTTGAATATGATTCTCTAAAGTGCATTCTTTAACTCCTTACTAACTTATTCTATTCTTTTCAGACAACTTCCGTGAGCGCAGCCGTTATGTCTGATGTAAATAGTATTTTTATAACAGAATAATTCTATATCGGGTGCTATAGTTGTAAATATTGAATATACTTATAATATTTATCTGTCATGGTCAAAAGTCCTATATACCACCACCTTAGCATCTCTCTCTCGAGGTGAAAGCTCAATAGCCGAATAAATATACAATATAAGGGTGTAGAGTTATATTATTAAAATATATTAATTATGTTCTATCTCACCTTAGGTTACACTATGTAATCTTATAAGCTATGCCAAAACCATTGTACAAAACCAGTGTACAGCCTATGTTATGTATCACTACCTGCTAATAGACGGTATTAAATAATGGAAGCCTGCTATAAGCTATCTCTAAACACAGGATCTCTTTGACCGAATTTTATACTCGATTATCAGTAACTGCCTTGATGATATTCGCATACTAGGCTTAATAAAAAGGCTCCAAGTTAGAAAGATAATATATTCTAATCTAATTCACAGTATCAATCTGAATATCCTTCCGTACTATCCCCGAAGTCTGAAAATTTTTGAAGGCGTCAGCGGTGCCTCTGATATTGATGAAATGGATCTGTTCCACTGACAGTTATTCACCTATGTAGACGAGCACATCTCCGGCGTCTACGTCGCAATCTCTGATTGCTATTGAACGCAATAACGGTGGTAAAGGGACTTTCGAAATGTTAGTATTTTACTCCACACCTAGCCTCTGGAGAACAGGGAAGTTTTTGAACAATACGAATTTAGGTGTATTGCTGTACGTAACCCGGCGACTGTGGTCTTCAACAACCAACTCTTCCAGCGTGGTACGGTGAGGAAGAAGTGCCTCTTGAACATCAAGAGAAACAGAAGGAACAGATGGTGGATGAGGTAGAGGATGAATATACTTGAAGCTCAATAAACGCTCGCAGATTCCGATGATCACACATAGAGAATAGGTGTCAAGGTTGCATCCATCAAGTAAGAGTTCCTTAATCGGGAGTAGTTTCTCTGTGGCAGTTGGCACGCTAATAACTTCCCTGTACTATAAAGGTGGCGCGTTAACAACAACCGATATAGTCGCGGGAAAAAACAACCGATCTCGTATGCAATAGGCAGGCCATAAACACAGTGAAGTTCTTGTAGGTAATTTGGACGGAACTTTTGTAGCAAGGATAGGAAATAGCTGGTTCCCAAAATTGTAAGCTGTTGTATGTTTGGTACCAGGGGTAGCAACTAGGACATGGACGTTCGCAGAGTCGCAATCCCTTCCCCATTCTTAAATGTTACTGTTGCCTGAAGTCTTGCAATGCTTCTAAGCTTAACCTACTTGTATAAAGGATTTTATCATCTATCTTTAACATGCTATTCCAAGAGCCGCTCATTAGGCACTGCCTCATGCAGCGGACTGCTGATGACGCTAGTCTAGTCTTATACAGAAATCGAATCAAGAAAGTCTAGTTTCACATCTATATTCTCAATGAATCAAGCAACAGCAATGAACTTGCCCTCGATTTATTAAGAACTTAACAAAAGTATCTACAATATCTTGCACAATCACCATGCCTACCCCAGAGTCCTCCAACTCTTTACCAATCCCTACGACTTGATACACTAGTCTGCATACGAGGCGGGCATTTTAGTATTCTTGGCACTCATGGACACGTTTCCAAATTTGATACTTTACTTCTTAATCTTACAGTAGTACACGTCAGAGGAATACTGGAATCTAGAAGCTTCCGTGTCCAGACAACGCTCCAACAGGGGCACCTCACTGTTATTTTTCGACTGACACTTGAAACAGACTTTCGTATGCAAGCTAACCAGATACAGATTAGTACAGATGTGTTCGATTTGAGAAAGCAAGCAGGAAGAGTAAGCGGTAGGCATGGTAGTTGTGCAAAGAACTCTAACGATATGCGGGGGTTGTAGTAGTGGAAAATGACCCCGAGCGGGGAAGTGCGAAGGTGCTGCCTGCAGCAGGAACCAACCCGCGAATCATCAATGCATGGTCCTAGTATACCCTCTTCCCAATATTTTCCAGCATCTTTCGTTAAAAGACGACTCCTACAGCGCAACCAAGTAGGGGACCTGTCTATTTAATAGAAGAACAAAAAGCTCACCTCCATTATGGAGTGCCAACCCATAGGAGGCTACAAAAACCGCTTAGTGGGTTTCTGCAGGCGAACTCCAGCGTAACGAGGGCACATTCTTGAGCTTAGTGTCAAGGGCCAGCTCGCTCATGTCCGGAATTGTACCCAGGAGATCACACAGGATTTTGAGAGATATTGGCAAATCCAAGCCTATTTTGGACTTCGTTCTCTAGTCTGCATGCGGGTAATAGCATTCAACGGACAGTCTGCGCTATCGAGCATCATTGTTCTACGTCGTCGCTGGTTCGTCCGCTGCTATGCAGAAATATAGCGGCAGCAGACGGAGTCAAAATCTCAAGAACTCGAGAAATGGGGACATCCATCCCAATGGTCAACCACGAGCTTTTTAACTGCAACAACTTTGACATACGCCATTATTGCTGGAAATACCGCGGCTGCTGGGACCAGATTTGCCCTCCAATTGTTCCTCGTCAAAGGATATAGACTGTACTCATTCCGATCACGAGACCTAAAAGAGCCTTTTATCAGCATTTATTGTCACTACCTCCCCATATCAGGATTAAGTACATTGCGCGCCTACTGCCTTCCTTGGATGCGGTAGCCGTTTCTCAGGCTCCCTCTCCGGAATCAAACTCTAATTCCTCGTTACCCATTGCCACCATGGTAGACCACTAATCCTACCATCCGAAGTTGATAGAGCAGGAATTTGAAGGAACTATTGCCGGCGCAAGGCCATACGATTCGTTAAGTTATTATGATATACCAAAGAGCTCCAAAGGTTATTGGTTTTCTGTCCAGTAAGTACACTCCTTTCGAAGTCGAGGTTTTCGGCACGTATCAGCTCTAGAATTACCACAGAGATCCATGTAGTAAGGTACTATCAAATAAACGATATTTGATTCAATGAGCCATTTGCAGTATCACAGTTTAAAGTGCGTATACTTTAGACATGCATGGCTTAAACTTTGAGACAAGCATATGACTACTGGCAGGATCAACTACAGCATCACAGATAGAACACGCTGTTAGTACTGAGTGACGAAACTTCATTTATAGTACACATTCGGGGGTCTCCTGTACAATGGTAGACACAAACGACTTGATTACCGCAAGGTAGAGTACACGACAGGGAGAACTGATATTTAGTACTTTTTCAAGGTACTGAACCATGCCTTGAACAGGGCGACCTTCTCACTCCAGCCAACTGGAATCTGACCCCATCCATCTCCAACATGCTGGACAAGTTCCGAAGAGTTCACAGCCGGCCAAGGGGTGAGGCCTGGGCCATTGGGGTTGCCAGTTTTGATGAAGTTTGCCCAGTAGCTGTTCATCTTTTTCGCAATGGCGTAGTCTGCAGCAGTCCACGGCTTGGAGGTTGCGTAGAGGTTATTCAAAACATAATTGATCTCCGACTCGTGGTAAGCACCCTGATCCTGACCAGGAGGGGCATGGTCCCAGTAGTAGTTATAGATGGGGCTCTCGTAAGCAGCATTCCACATCTGAGACCAGAGCCAGGTGCCAATCTTAGAACGGTCTGTCCACTGAGAATTCTCAGCTCCAGAAGCAGTGACCCTATCGTTGGCAGGGTATAGGTCAAGGAAGCGCTGAAGCCACTCGCCGCTGAAAGTGGAGTTGAAATCCTCATAGTATGTTTCCAAAGAAATATTGAGACCATAAGTGGCGCCACTTTCATCTTTTGTATTTCCTGTAAGCACTGGCACATCCTGAGCAATCTTGTTCCGTAGTGTATTCCAGTAAGTCTCCGGAATAGCGTAGTAATCGAGTGTCGCGGTAAAAGAGTATGGCGAAGTAAGGAAGTTGGTAACAAGATCACTCATTGGCAGTTCTCGTGCTTCGGCAATTGTGGAAACATTCAGACTAGCCATGAACTTTTCAGCAGTGTTGTAGGAGACATCCAAAGTGCGATAGGCCTCGGCAGCTTCCATAGCCATAGGATCTTCCGGATAGCGTACTCCACTTTCGATAATGGCTCCAACAATCAACCCTCTTGTGAGGTTGCTGTTCAAAATATGCTGTGTGGCAGCCGATCCGGCAGACTGACCCATCACAGTAATATGGTCAGGGTCTCCACCAAAGTTGGCAATATTGGCCTTGATCCATTTGAGAGCAGCAAACTGGTCAAGCATACCCCAATTGCCGGAACTGTTAGAGCCTGTGACCTTCTCGAATTCTTCAGAGAGCTCGGGCGTTGCCATCCAACCAAATGAGCCGGTTCGATAGTTGTAGTTCACAAATACAATTCCCTGGTCTGCCATACCACCTCCATCAAACAGGGCATCTCTTGCAGTCGAGAGAGCAGGATAACTCCACATAACCACAGGTAATTTGTCACTCGATGAATGAGCAGGGCTCCAGATATTGAGGTTCAGACAATCCTCGGTGATAGTATAGTCATTATCACCGTCGGTGGCAGATGGACACACATCGCCAAATTCCTTGGCATCCAAGGTGCCATTCCATGGGGAAGCAGGTTGGGGAGCTTTCCAGCGATTTTGACCACCTGTGGTAGCAGCAAAGGGAATTCCTTTCCAGACAGTTATATCCTTCCAATGGGTCAGGTTGCCGTTGTAGGTTTCATTGAAGGCAGGATATCCCTGGACTTTGCCATATTTGGTTTGAACGACAGAATCATAAAGCGCAGCTGAAGCAACAGGCGAGAGACCGTAAAGAACCGTGGCAGCGGTCGCAGCAGTAGTGGTGAGCCACATTGCTCGTGACGGTTAAAAGCAAAATAGGAGAAGTTAAAAGAAAGTGCACCTCAAAACACGAATAAATGTAAATGGGCGATAGGTCAGTGATTTATATACCTTGAAAAGCATCCACCCGCCATTATGATCATTGCAGAGGATCCCAGGATCCACTATAACCAGATGTGTGCCTCAAAGTTGTGAGTATTACGCTTACTGAATTTAGATTGGGTGACGTGTATTTGGTACACCCCGTCTACACGATCTACATGATCTACATGATTTATTCACAAAATGGGGTTTTCCGTCCGATTTCCAAGCAAAACTCACTACACTTACACTACAATAGAAAATCAACTCCGCTTCCAGTGCGAATCATGACGAATGATGGAACATGCGTCATTCGAGCAATTGTGCCGAAGTAAGAAACGCACAAGGCACAGAAATATGAACAGAATCATCCACAGAGAGCATAAGCGCGAAAGTACTCCGTACATGATTTCATGAAGTGCAAGAAGAGAGCTTCAGATCTTACAGAATCTGCTTTACCCGTATTATGATATTATACTTGAAATATCATTTGTAGAACATCCAGAATCGAGTACCGTATGGCAAGCACGGCTAAATCTCCACCCGATTGGCCTGTACACAGAATGTGTGCTTGGCACGGTCCTTACCCTGTGTGCGCAGTCGATGTGGCCAGAGGCCTCAACTACAGCTTCTCTCCAGACGGGAGGACGTCTTGGAAACTGACATAATACAGATGGCTAATGAGTGGTCTAAGAGATTTAATAGGTTGAAAGAAACTCTCTAGTTAATGGTTGTGTGATCAAGACGCGCCAAAAGATGAAGCTTTGAATTAAACAGGGGTGCGGAGTAAAACGGACCGCTCGGTGGTACCGTTAGCGGATGTGTGTAAATGAAGTGGGGCTTGGACAGGCCTCTCGGGCCGGGTCTCCTCATTCGGAGATAGCTTGCGAAATTGAGTATTTGGAACCTCGGGTGAGCGGGAATAAAAAAGTTCATTATAAGTTAGATAATATGGGCTGACCAAAGCGCTTGTGTAACCATATATGTTGAGTCCTGTTGGCTCCCTCCTTCCTTCCTTCGGGTTCCTATGGGGTCAAGCCTCTTCCCTTCCCTTTATCTGGTTCCTTTCTCCATTGTGTCTATCCAAGAGAACAACAGATTAATAAATGAATGAATGATGAGATGGGACATGAGCTCCAACAATATATCTGCATTATCCTATTTGTTGATATGGGACGCAGACCTTGTGGGCCCCTCGCTTTGATCCGAGTGATCCCCCAATAATGATGCTTGTAACATGGAGACTCCTTTTAGGACGGCCCACCATTGCGTGTTTGAGCGGGCGATGAAGTTCTTCTCTCGGAGGATTCCTACATATGGAAAGAACTTCGACGTAGGTCTGCCTTTCTACTCTAATATGAAGAGATAAGCGAATATAAAAGAGCGCTGATACTGCTTTCAACTTGCAGATATCTCTCAGACTAGTAGACTTTTCCATTGAAAGCCCATCTGTAACGCTTTGAAACCCTTCTTTCTTCTTCAACTCGCCCCTCTTGGCCTGACATCTGCCTCTAGACATGATTCTTTCCATCACAGGGCCTTATCTTCATGCGATCACTCTAGTCTCAACACCACTGTTGGGTCCTACTACGTAAAGGAGAACCAAACAATTGCTGAAATCTCTCGCCAAGTCGACCGCGGAATTTGCGACATCGCTCGTATCAATCGCATGGCAGACGCCATGATCCCTCTCTACACTGGTGAGGAATTGATCATTCCACCAGAAATTTGCAAGCCAAATAACTCGACATGTTTGATCGTCGAAAAGCCCGGTGCAGTCTACGCCGACTGTATTAAGGGTGGACCCCATACCTACTACACCCTCAAAGGAGATAAATTCCGGTACATAAAGCTCAATCTTACGCTCGCCGCTCTCGAATCCACTGCCCAGATTGAAGTTAGTGACCCAGATGCGGAGGTCGAAGCCGACAATTTCATCAAGCTTCCCCAGTGTGACCCAAGTACCTGCTCTTTGCACCCCAGGAATTCATCTACGGAACCTACAAGGATATCGCAGACAGTCTGGGTACCACTGTTGGTCAGATGATGGCAATAAACCCCACGTACAACCATAGCGAAGGTGGTAAGGGTGAGGGTGCTGTAATTTCTATGCTTTACGATTGCGAGTACACTGGGTCGAACGTCACCGTGGTTTCCTAGAGGACTGTTCAACACTTTTAAACATACCTAACTGTAATATCTTTTGTTGAAAACAACATGTCGGGTAAATATCAAAGTCATATAATACTTGAATTCTTGCTTTCTATACGCGCCCGGAAGAAGTTATTAAAATTAAGTTTCTATCATGATATAATATCAGAATCCATAGTATGTCATCCCGATAACACCGACCACGATACCGGTCCGTTCTATCCCAATCTGCTATACCTGATCTTCTTAATCTAAAAATATAAAGGCTAAAATGAATTTTTTAATCGTAATTTACTTCTAGTTATGCAGTTAGGAGGACTTTTGTATCTTAATCTGACCGCCAGGTTACGGTCAGGTTAAGGATAAGGTATAACGGTCAGGTATAGCCACTCTACCCCAGAGGCCCCGCGGCAGCGGAGGTCCGCTACCATTAGGATGCGGCGATCTTGTATAATGCAAGGGTTTGGGGTCGACGTCCGCTGGATTTCCCCTTACCATCCGTTACTTTTAGGCTTCCCGGCGCGGTGGCGCGTTGAAACTTTGCTAGTTAGCTGCGCGGCCATTTTTTTCCCCTCTATCAATGTTTGATGATGATTATCCTGGTGGTACGCCAGTCAACGCGGTTGGAATTTGACACATTCGCGGGTGGAATTTTAAATGGGGTATAGGTTGGTAGTTATCTATACTATATTAATTCATATATCTCTCTCTCCCTGTAGTATATAACTAATATATTATAGCTTTCCGGCTGTCTACACCACTCCTAATTTCTATCTTTGAATTGGAGAACTGCTCTGATATATGCTTCATTCCTGTTTCTATTACTTATTACTGTTGTTCGTAATTGTTGTGATTCTTGTTTCTATACCACTGGCGTAGATTTATCCTCCTTTTATCTATTTATCTGATAGCAGACGAGCTCTTTTAGTATATCCTATAGCTGCAAGTCATGATCTGTTGCTAATGTTGATATGGTGTCTGGCCTGGCGAGGCTCAGTAATATCTGAAATAATAATACCAGCTAGATTATCTGATAGTTACATATCTGGTCCATGAGATCTAGTAGTAGATAGATATCACGGCCGATATTCATGCGGTACAGATTTTCTATATATTAGATGAGCTGCCTGTGGTGGTTTCGGTTATCCCGAATTCTGCCGTCTGTATCCGCCTTCGGGCATTATCTCGACGGAGTCATCTTCCGTCTTCCTTCTCCCGTCAACAACCACATCATCATAATGAAGATTGCCTCATCATGAATTCAGCTGATCCATAACACTGCCCCTGATTATTCAATACTATTCATAGAGGATGTTATGCTGCTGTGATTCTATAATGTGCTAGTATCTAGTCTCTAGTATAGAAGTAATGCAGATCCACTGGCAGCGTGTAATAGAACAACTACTATCGTGAGTAAGGTCATCAGGATGACGCACTACAGTGGTTATGGGAGTCGTGAGGTCATCGATAGCGAACCTACACCTCCCCGACACCTATAAGGTGCTGATTCCTCTGCAGGAAGCTACTAATCCTCAAGGATCAGTCTATTTTATGGATATAGACTACCTTTGTTATTACTAGATAAATCTATAGTATTTAGTAGTTGATTCCTTACCTAGTCAATAGGTCTTCTACCCTGACAAGTAGATTCTATTATATTCTGATTCTTCTTTTTTAACTACCTAAGGAAGATGCTATTATACTAAGATAGTAAAGAACCAGAGATAATTAGTAACTAAATTAATATAGAATTATTATTAAATATAATCCCTACTATTAAAGAAATTCAATAACTTGAGAATAATATATATTAATTAGAGTAGACTAATAATCTATACTAAAGAATAACCCACCTCTAAGAAAACTATTCTTCTAGTAAAATCTTATTAAGATACTATATATTCTTCTCTGAATTAGATTAGAATAAGAAAGAAATTAAGTTTACTAATATTCCTTATTTTATATTAAATTTTAATCTTTAGAAATGTTAGGAATAGATTACTAATTTAGAAGATATATTTCAGGGAGCCCCTAGGAAGTATTTATTAGATAAATATAAGATCATCGCTGCTATTAGTTATATAGACCCAGTATATAGACAGAGATAGTACTAATTTATTACTAATAAGATCTTATAAGAAAAATAATATCTTAAGAAATTATAGCTCTAATTCAAGAACTAGACCCTTATCTTAATCTAAAATACTATAATACTTCTATCTGATATAATAGCTCAACTTGAATGAGTATACCAGTGATAAGACCAGGATTTAAGAGAGTTCTATATCTATCTTAATACTTTAGAGCAGTATTTTCTCTGTTAAGCTGAAAGAGAGAGGACTCTATTCTATTTTACTAAACTCCTCCTAGAATTAAATTACTATATTCAGGAATATATTCCCAACCTGTCTGAAGAACGGGATAGAATAGTGGCTATTACTACTTATTATTATAAACTCTAGAATAATAGAGAAAAGTATAAATAAAATAATAATTAATTCAGTAGCTATAAGTTATAGAAATAGTTATAAGATTATAGTAATAAATCAGCTAGGAACAATACTCAGAATCGCAAGGAAAACCCTATTAGAAAGAATAGTAACTAATTATATTACTTTATATATAAAAGTACTTATTACCTTACAAATCACTACCCTACTAAAGACAAGAAGATTTAATCTGTTAAAGCCTATTTATTCTTTTTAGAATCAGAGAAAAAAGATAAAGAATTAGAGTAGTCTCTATAATTTCAACTTCTTTATCTATAGTAAAGACTATATATTACTTCTATATTTCTATCTATATCTGAAACAGTCTTAAAATCTTTATAGATCTTAATAGTTATACTAAAGTAGATATTATCAGCTATTAATTTACTAAGATATACTATCTCTAATATACTCTAGTTACTATCTCTAGAATTAAAGCTATTAACCAGGCTGCAACCCCTACTTATAGTATATAGAAGGTCCCTATAACTACAACTAATTTACGAGGAAGTACCCGTACTTTTAAATAGTATTATATAGGAATTAACAGAGATCCTTAACTAGATAGAAGTCTAATCCTGTTATTAATAACTATCCTCTAGGATTTATATATTAACTTATTATCTTTTGACTATTAGTAGTAGTTTAGTATACTATTTATCTTACTTCTCTCTACTACTCAATTTACTAGAGTAACCCAGAATTAAGCTAAGATATATACTCTTATTAAACTTCTTAAGGATATCTAGCTATCTAAGAATAAATCTTATAATCCACCCCTAAATCCTAATCTAATATTAATTAAACTTTGAGAGTTCTAAGATATATTCTCTATAGACTCTTCCTAGCAACTACCCCCCCATAGCCCTGTAGATCATACTATTAATCTTAAGGCCGGCGAGACACCTCTATATAGTCTAATATACCCCCTATCCAGGGCTGAGCTCAAAATCCTATATGATTATATTAACAAGAATCTTAAATTAGGGTGTATCTAATTTTTTAAGAGTTCTACTAGAGCCCCTATCTTATTTATCTCTAAAAAGAATAGTAATCTATATTTTTATATAGACTACAGGGGTCTTAATAAGATCTCTATTAAGAATTATTATTCTTTATCTCTTATATCAGAGATTCTAGATAGGATTTTAGAGAGTAAATACTTCTCTAAAATTAATATTAAAGATATCTACTACTGGATCTATATTAAAGAGGAAGATAAATAAAAGACTATATTCTATATAAGATATAGTTATTTCAAGTATATAGTTATACCCTTTAAACTAACTAATACTCTGGCAACCTTTCAAAACTATATATATACTATACTTCATAGACTTCTTAACAACTTTTATATAGTATATCTGGATAATATCCTTATCTTTTTATCAGATAAGAACTCTTATATAAAATATATTTGTTAAATACTTAAAAGACTTAGAGAAGCTCAGCTCTATACTAAATTCTTAAAGTATTTCTTTTATTAATCCCAAGTCAAATTCCTAGAATATATTATTAATAGTAAAGATATCTCTATGGACCCTTAGTATATAAATAATATTATTTCATGGCCGATGCCTAAGAGTTACTATAATATCTAAGTTTTCTTAGGATTCTATAACTTTTATTAATATTTTATTAGAGACTATTCTTATATTATACTACCCCTTATCTTCTTACTCTATGGCATAGTTAATAGGTGAAAATCAGGACCAGTTTATCTAAATATATATAAAAAGATTGCTTTTTATTATCTAATCACCACCTTTTAATAAGCACCTCTTTTAATATATTTCGATCCTATAAAACCTTAATACTTAGAAACCAATGCCTCTAAAGAAGAAATAAGTAGGATTCTATCCTAGTCTAATAATAAGAGTATATTTTATCTAATTGCTTTTTAGTTATATAAGTTCTTCGGCGCTAAGCTAAACTATAGTACTCTAGATCAAGAGCTATTTACTATTATTTATTTATTTAAATAATAGAGATAATACCTTAAGAATACCCCTTATACTATTAAGATTTTATCTAACTATTCTAACTTGTAATTATTTATATACTAGACTAAGATTAATAGAAGATAAGTCTAATAGCTTATATTTTTAATTCCCTTTAACTTTATTATTAAATATAGAACAGAAAAGTCTAATCTAGTAGATAGACTCTTTAGGATATCTATAGAAGTTCAAGTTAAATCTATTCTATAAGAGAAGCTTTTAACCCTAATTTAAGAGTATCTTATAGATATATCATCTTTAATAATCAAAGATTTAGTCAAAGAGAAATCCCAGTTCAAACTTTATAATATATAGGGATACCCTGAGTTCAATACCTACATAGTATTGAGCTCAAAGGACCCTAATAATTAAGTCAGTATAGAGACAGCTGACTAGACTACTTAGAGGAACTTATCTTAAGAGAGATTTATTTCCTAATCCACAGTAATATATATATATACTGCAGAAGTTTTATACTTAGATATATATAGTTCTGAGCTCTAAGAAATAATCTTATATT